GAGAGAGAGAGAGAGAGAGAGAGAGAGAGAGAGAGAGAGAGAGAGAGAGAGAGAGAGAGAGAGAAAGAGAGGGGGGGGGGTACTTTATGAAGCAGGTTGTTTCAGCTCGTAAAACATGCATTAATAATAGTCCCGTCTTATTTTGCATTTGTGTACGAGAGTGCACCTAAACTTTGTAACATTCCACCGCCATTGTAAACAACCAAGAAAAATAATTTTCTCTCTGTGACAAGAATATTGATTGTCATTGTCGGTTCAGATCATTTATGAAGTAGGCTTGAACCCTGCTTGTGAGGGCCAACCAGACGGAAAGGGACATAGCATCCCAGCAGTTCAAAGACCAAGATACTCAATAAAAATCCTTTTTCTGCATACGATAACGAAGCACCTAATTGCAAAATCACCAATGCCGGTCAAACTGAGTTGATTGATTGGGTAGATGTTTTACGGCACTATCGACACAATTTTGGTCATTTAAGCGCCAACAAGTTTCACCGCTACAAAATCAGACGTGTTTTTAGTTAGAGTCTTTCGGAGCTCGCAACCGCACATGATCACACTATTTTCCTTATATGCTAAAAAGACGAACAAACATTTATTTAAAAATTTTTGGTAAATATGGAAAAGGCTTGTATAGTATAAGGTTTTACTGCGCTCGCAACTGCTAAGGTCATATGTGCGCGCGAAACACAAGTTGTTCACCTTTGCAAAAGTTCACTTCACGACTGGTTAGCTAATTTACTTTAAAATGCTAAAAAGTTAAAATATTTAAATTCGGTGTAAATACATTTGTGGTTTAAAACAACTCTTTAAGTAACAATAAAAAATTTTAATAATATCAAATTCACTCTACAACTCGCCATAAAGGCCAATGGCCTTTATAAAATTCAAAATTCTGCTGGGAACAACGACGGAAAAGATATCTTGCAATTTCTTGCATTTATAAAATTTCCTTCGGATCTCTCCAAAGTCTAGACATTCGGTTAAGATGTGTCTAATGGTAAAATCTGTGTCGCATCCGACACAGAACGGCTTCTCATCTCCCTGTAGGAGGTATTTGTGGGTCAGGGCGGTGTGTTCGATGCGCAATCGAGTAAAAATGACTTCGTCTCTTCTGGAGAGGTCCGAAGGATTTCGCTGTTCTAGTTTGGGTTTTATTTCGTATAGTTTATTATTTTTCTGGTTTTCCCAGTGGCTCTCCCACAGACTGGAGGAAAAGGCTTATTTACATTTGTATATACAATATTAATTTCAGTATATGTATACATGCACCGATAACGATAACTATATATTTTCATATTCTATTAAATAGTCCAATTTGTTTTATATACCTTAAAAATTTTCTGGGGTCTACGATGTCAAAAAGGGTCTTAACATCTTTACATTTAAAATATTAAATTCGACACATTCCGTTAGGATGTGCCGAACTGTGAAATTTGTGTTGCACGCCACGCAAAAAGGAGCTTCTTCTACTTCGAGCAAATGTTTGTGCGTGACGTGCGTGTGTCCTATCTTTAGTCTGGTAAAAATTACTTTTTCTCTTCGTAGGAGAGATAGTGGATTCCTGGGCGTAAGTTTCGGTTGAATGTAATGGAGTTTGTTGTGCATTTGTTAATTCCAAATTTGGGACCAGGAGGATGTGATGTGTTCTTTTCCTTTCGGTTTCATGTCAGAGAAAGGGATTTTACTAATTTTGTTTTCAGGTAGTTATAGAGATTCTTTGATAAATTGGTCAACGGCTTCGTTGCCATCAATGCCTACACGGCTTGGAAGCCAAGCTATTGTAATAGTTTTTCCAGACTGATGTAGAAAATGCAGTTTAATTATAAGTTTTAAAATTCTGTTGTTGGAGGTGTCAGAGCGCTCTAAAGATTTCAGACAAGAGAGAGAGTCTGAAAGAATTAGGAAAGTAGACTGGGTTGATTGATCTATAATATTTAGGGCCATTTCAAGAGCTGTAGCCTCAGCAGTGTAGACTGAAGCTTCTGGGTGGAGTTTCCTTAAGCTTAAGCTGTGTGGTAGGGTTGGGTCGGGCTCGCAAAATTAGGGCCCGCGAGTAACGAACTGCTTGCTGGCACTACCCGCAAATGAGCGGACGGGTAACGAAGCGTCCGTTTGTGAAGAGTAGTTCGCTACTCGCTACACATCGGTCAGAGACAACAGTTCGTTTAGCGAGCGAGCGGACGGGCGGACCGAGAGACTCCATGCATTCGAGCGGGCGGGCGGACGGACGGGAGCGACTCCTCCCATTGCATACAACTTACAACCCCCCCCCCCCCCCCCCCCCCGGCCTTTGAGATAATTGGAACGTACACAGTGTGCCCCACACACGAGGTGAAAGGTTACACACATAGTACTACGTCACTAGCCTCTCTCACTCCCTGTGGCACCGCTAGGCTAGTGGCTTGA